AACTGTTTGTTACACTGAGTTAGAACTAATGATGTAGGTAATGTGGGAAGCTACGGAATCGCACATCATCATTCAGAGCAAGAGAATAGCTAAAGAGAAGCAGAGAGCCAGGATTGGGCTCACTGTTTTCACTTTGTTTCCCAACTCAGAAGCCTTTATTTGCTCCAATTGGAACAAAAGATAAATGTCCACTCCTCACTCAGACTGTCAAATCTTTACATAATCTATGCCCAACCTGCTTCGGTGTCTTGCCTGTTCCCTGTGTGATTGCACCAATCCCTGAGATCACCTCTGCCCTCCCTTGCGCTCACTCTCCACCTTTCTCCACCTACCTGTTAACTTAAGTCCGCTCTAGGATTCAGGCTCTCTGTAGCCTTGAAGCCTTCCCTGATGCCTCCAGTGTAGAAACTAATCATAGTTACTGCGTGTCGGGTGCTTCCTGAGAGCTCAGGAAATGAGAAACAGGTAGCAGGCTCCTGCTTTGTTCTTTCTGCTCGTTTTGTTTTTATCAACATCTTCTTAGTGAAATGATGGAAATTTTTTAATAAATAGCTTATCTGGGGACGCCTGGGTGGCTCAGCAGTTGAGCATCTGCCTTTGACTCAGAGCATTACCCTGGGACCCCGGATGGAGTCCCACGTCAGGCTCCCTGCATGGAGCCTGCTTCTCCCTCTGCCTGTGTCTCTGCCTCTCTCTCTCTCTCTCTCTCTCTCTCTCTCTCTCTCTCTCTCTCCTCTCTCCTCTCTCTCTCTCTTTCTCATGAATAAATAAATAAAATCTTTTTAAAAAATGGCTTCTCTACTTATCAGAGGATCAGAGATGACTTGAAAATTCAGATCTCTCACTGTAAACTGAGATCACTAATTTGGAAGTATATTTTGCTTTGAATGACCTTTTCTGTTTGAGTTGGGTCACTGGCATTAAGAATATATACTTGAAATAGCAGATTTCCTGAACTTTCTATCAGGCACTACTGTGTGGAATGCAAAGCAGGATCAAAGAAGCCCAGCAGATTACAACGGGCCTTGCTTGTGAACTTCCAGGCCAGATAGGATGACAAGACGTGGGCATAGAAGGAGTCATGGAATGGGCCCATCATCAGCCCCGGTGGGCAGCTCTTGTGGTGAATCTGCTCCTCAGACTTATTTATACAGCTCAGCGTTTTTAAAGAAATCCAATTACTTGTCAAATTTTATGACTCAGGAGCTTTCACATAAAAATCCCATATATTAGCCTCCCTGGAAAACCCAGAGAATCAGACAACCCTGAGGGAACAGTGAGCCGGAGCCGTGGAGCAGCCCCGCCTGTGTGTAGACCCCATTTTCTCTGGTTCTGCACGGTTTCCACTCCCCCACTGCATTGCATCCTGCCCACACTCCTCATTTATGCCACTTGTTGGTGTCTGTGACCCTCAACAGTTCAGTCAGGGTGCCGTGTAATTAGGACAGAAAGTGTTGTGGGATTTCAGAAGGAATAGAGTGCACTTTGGAGAACACAGTATAATGGAAAGAATATAAGCTTTAGAGCTAGGCAGATCTAAATCCAAATCCTAGCCCTGCCTTCCTCCTGTGGCCTTCTGCCTTGGAGATGTGCTTTCCCTCCAGCTCCCTTTGCTTATGATAAAATGGAAAGTATCACCTCCCTTATGGGGTTGTAATGAGCATTAGCAATGATGTACGTATAGTTCCTAATAAGCCTTGTCCCTGGGCAGCATACACTGGTTGATCCTGTCCAAAAAGTCTAGCAGGATACCTTGGTTTAAGTATTTGGAAATTGTCACCAAAAAAAGCCTGGTGTTGGGGGACGCCAAATTCCAGGTAGATTAAAAAGTTAAATCTAAAGAAGTGTAACTCTTTTTTTTTTTTTTTTTTTTTTTTGTTAACCAAAAGGGAAATGCAGTTGTATATTTAACTTCCCCCAGGTTGAGAAAAGACTTTCTAAGCATAAAAACCATGGAGGAGAACCAAAGAAAGGTCAGAGTTGACTCCAAAAGTCTTTGAGCTACTCTATGTTAAATATCATCAACTCCGTTAAGGGACAAATACCAAATGAGAAAAATATTTGCAGAAAGTATGACAAAGGATAAACATCTATCTGTGGTTATAGATCAATAAGAGAAATACTAACATCCTGTAGAACAATGGACAAGGAACATGAACAGAGAGTTGACAACAGAGTAAGTGCAAACGGCAAATAGTCATGGGAAGAAATGTTGAACGGGGTTAATAATTAAAGAATTCTCTGAATAATGAATTGTCACTTTTCCCCTGAATTTTTTTTCGTCATTTTCAGTTGGTAATGTTTGGTATTGGTGATGTGACCAAAAGATAGGTACTGTAGTATTTTCCTGATGGAATTCTAAATTGCCACAACCTTCTTAAGCAGTTTGATGGTATAAATCAAACTGGTTTAAAGTTCATATTCTTGGATCCAGTAATTCCATTTTTGAGAGCATATCCTTAGAAAAATAATCAAAAATGTTTTGCTCAGTATCTACTTCAGTAGCCTTTGTTTCTTTCTTGTTTTCTTTTTTTTTTTTCCCAGCATTGGTGGTGTATTAAAATCTCCGTGTCCAACACTGTGTACTCATTACTATATTCTTAGCATTCGCTCAGTGCCTGACAGACACGAGTGGTGAAAAAATATTTGTGAGTTTAAAGAAGGAAAGATATGTTCATATAAAGGAATATTCTATAACCCCATTTCTGAAATACTATACATTTGAGATGAAGGAACCTGCTCACGCTCTAATGTTCCAAGTGTAAAGTGATTATGTAGAGAGGATGTTTCCTGTGCATGCATGGCGCTGATCCTGGATGATAGGATTGTATGTTCTTGGTGCTCTTGGCACTCAGTCTTTCAGCAGGTATTAGTTGGTGCCTGCGGTAGGCGCGGAGCATGTTTCAGAGGACGGAACGACGCAGTCCTCTGTTCACGGGGTTTATCGGGGAGGGAGCAGGAAGGCAGACATCAAACCAGTCGTTTGCATGTGTCTCCTACTTCAGTGAACGTGTGTTACTTTAGTAGAGAGAAACACCGCTGCTGCGGATTTTCAAGCATCGGTCGTTGGTTGTAATTCCTAAGGCACCTTTTTAGGACAAGAAAGGAGCGAATATGTGAAAAAAATCTACATATAGCTTATAAAATGTGAAGTTACCTTTCCAGTGAAAAGAAACATATTTAGGGGGGCAGCCCCGGTGGCACAGCGGTTTAGTGCCACCTGCAGCTCAGAGTGTGATCCTGGAGACCCGGGATCGAGTCCCACATCGGGCTCCTTGCATGGAGCCTGCTTCTCCCTCTGCCTGTGTCTCTGCCTCTCTCTCTGTGTCTCTCATGAATGAATAAATAAATAAAATCTTAAAAAAAAAAAAAGAAACATATTTAGGTTTCCTATCTGTTGGATGGTTAGTAATGACAGAACGATAAATACAGCCAGACTTTTTCCCCTAAATACCATTTTTCTAAAGGAAATTGAATAGGTTTACATTGAGAGGCAGAGGTGGGCGTGCCTCACCCAGGAAGGTGAAGCCCCAGCGCTCTTTGGGAATCATAATTGAGTGTTCAGATGAACCAGCTGTGCTTGGGGAGAGGGGGGAGAGTGTTGATCAGAATCCATATAAAAGCATGTTTTTTGTTTTTTTCATCTACTTGTAAAACTTTGTGTAGAAAACCAGAATGTCAGTGACAACGGAGCCCACCCTGTAAGCTGATTGAGACCCTAAAAAAACTCTTTTTTAAAAAAAATAAGCTTTCTGCCCAACATGGGGCTTGAACTCAGCCCTGAGATCAAGAGTCACATGCTCTACTGACTGAGCCAGCCAGGCGCCCCTAAAAAGCCTCTTTTAACTGAGATCAGGAATGGAAAATTTTATCCTAGGCCATGGGTTTTTTTAGGGGTTTGTTTTGTTTTGTTTTGAAGAAAGACCTAAGTAAATGAAAAGGGCTACAGAGCCGTGTTTTGGTAACTTAAGCATGCTTAATGGCTGTGAACACACTCCTCTAAACAGTCTGACCCTTGCTTCCAGCGTTGCTTATCCATTTATCAAGTTGAGCTTTAGGCACAGCCACATGAGCTCCACTGGCCTTTTTTTTTTTCTTTCTTTCTTTTTTTATCTGTTTCCTAAGTGGAAAAAGTGTGTGTGTGCCCTGCTTAAGTTAGAGGGTGGCTCAGGGGTCTGTTGGCGCTCTGGCCTCAAGAGGAGGATGTATCTGTGAGCTGTGTTGCCTTAGTAGAATCCCTTGCCCTCTTTCCTATCTCCTTCTACAAATTAGGAATGCGCTTTTGGAGCAAAGGGTGTTGGAAGGGACAGATAACAAGCAGCAAAGTAATGACCTCACCTCCTACAGTGGGTGCCCTGGGTCTCACTGTCCTTTGGGGACTGATCAAGAGTAGCTCTATCCCTCGTGAAGGATTTCTGTCTTCTGCTTTTAGGTAGAGCTAAAGTTTAAATGGAATGTAGTGTCTTTAACAGCAACCTGAGGCTTTCTCTCATTTGAAAAATTCACATCTTAGGAACATTAAGTGAAACATGGCTCTGTTGAACGTCACTTTCCGTCAGGGCCGATGCTTCCCCCTTGCCACGTGGAACCCTCTCTCCCTTGCTGGTTCTGTGCCCGCCACATGTTTCCAGGCGGAAGTACAGTGCTCACTCCTTTTCCACTGGCCTTGGCGCCCCTTCCTCCTCAGTAGTGTTTCTACCGCTTGAAGAGATCTTTGTCTCAGGATTGGCTTCATGTGCGGTTCAGCGTCTTTCCTCTCTCCACTACGCCGCCCTGTCCCGTGTCTGTACTTAGAGTAGGTCGCGCTGCGCTCCGAGCATGCGGCATGCGGAGGGCCACGGGAGGTCTGCTCCTCCCTGTGTTGAGCCGTGGTCGGTAACGGACTCTGCGGCCTAAATCCAGGAGCCTTGCACCTCTGATCTCATGGATGATGCGCTCCCTTCTGGTATACTTTGTCCAGCAGGACATACATCTTCTCTGGTTGGAATCCTTTTTTTCAGAGAGCTGCCTTTTGCTTCTCGGAGATGGAACTGGGCCACCCAGGGCCAGGTCACCTTCGCACTGCCCTCTGGCTGGCTGAGGGGTCAGAGGTTAGTTATTACTTGCTACTACAAAAGAAAAGGTGGCGACATAATTAAAGTCAATCACCAAGACCAAAAGTTATTTCAAACATTGCTTTTATCTTCTGCCTGTAAAAGTTAGGACTGTGCTCCACAGAGTCACTGCCAAGGGTCGGGACCTGGAACTTAAACTGTTTATGCAAGTTCATTATTGTTTTGATTTTGACTTTCCTAAAGGAAATCATTATAAATAGTTATGTTCTGAGAAGCACCCCTACAGTATAAACATAAACACAGTATTGCAGTGAAATCAATCCTACAGTAAGCCAAACGCAATCCCTTGCATCAGAAGTGAAGTAGGTGAATGGGTGGATCTGCCCAGAATGGACGTGGAAAACTCAGGAAACTTGGGTCTCAACTCTTGACTAGCTCTTCGGATGCACCCCTTTGTTGGCTGCAAAGCAGGAGGACCCCACCTTTGGGCTGTTTCCCAGGCCATGCGGGAAGCTCCACTAGAGTCCCGGACAGGTGTTGACTTTGAGCTCCCTGGAGTAGAGGGGCAATGTAAATGCAAGGCATTTGTATCTGAAGTGTTTGACCACCAGTCCCGGTTTGCAGCAGTGTTCGGGTCAAGCCAGAGCTCCCTTCTTTAAGAAAATCTTGCTGTTGACGCTTCTGGAAAGAAACAAGAATACATCTCCAAGACGCCAGAGGAGCCATAGGAAGAGTTGTAAACTGTTTTAACATAGGCATGATTAGTGAATTAGCATAAATTCTAAAAAGGCGATGAGAACTCATCACACCACGTCTTGTTTAAAAGCCCATTTTTTTCCACACTAACTATGTCAAAATACAGAGCGCAGCATAAAACACACATAAAGAGTTCTTGTGTAAGTGACTTAATTTCTTCACAGGCCAGAACGGGTTCTTGTTCATTTTAGATGCTGATGATGATAATATCTGGCACTTGTACTTAATATGTGCCAGTCTCCAAGTGACTTACGCAAATCGCATCAGTGGAGGCTTAAAACAGCCCGATGTGGCAGGTCGTGTCGTCGTCCCCGTTTTACAGATGAGTAAACTAAGGTACAGAGTGGTGACACAACCTGCCTAAGGCCCAGCGGCTGCCATGCACAGAGCCAATAGGTGAACCCCTGCAGTCTAGCTGAGCAGAGGTTCACGTCCCTTGACCATTGTCAGATTCTGCTGCATCTTGATCACACAAGCAGAAAATGTAGTGCAATGAATGCTGTTTTCTAGGAAGAGAACGGAGACTACACATATGTGGAAAGATTGAAGATACCCTTGGATCATGGGACCTTGTTAATCATGGAAGGAGCCACACAAGCCGACTGGCAGGTGAGAACATGCAAGGAATTTGGATTCACACGGAGGCAGTGCCCTGATGGCCACGAGTAGTACTTTCCCTAGTACATATGGTGAAAAGCAAGTTGCTTTTATCATGATCGAGAGGCAGGACAGTGGCACATTTTCAAGGAGTTTTGATTCTACAGAGCAAACATCCGCAGCAGGGGCGTCCGGTCGAGCTTTCTGTGACGGGGGAAGTATCTGCGTCTCCTAAGCCCCCGTGTAGTACCCACAGCTATTCTTGATCTCTTGACATGGGGCTAGTGTGCTGAAAGACTGAATTTTTAATTTAAGTTAAATTCGTTTCAATAGCTTCAGGTAGCCAGTGGCTAGCACAGCTTCACATCTTAGGCCTGCGTGTGTTAAAGCCAGGTCACCTGTAGGATGTGCAAGTTCACGTAAACGCTTAGCACGGGAGTGCGGGCTCATGGCCGTCTTGGCGCTCAGCCGCTTATGTGCTTAGGAGATGTGGGAAGTGGCAGGAAGCTGCGAGGAAGATCCACGATTACAAGAGATACAGACCTCCCTGTGAAGGCGCTGGCTTATCGGAGTGATGGGGGGGGGGGGGGCTTGGCTTCAGAGAAGAAAACCTTTCTCCACGAGACTTCAGATCCTTTACTGATGCTCACAGAGGACGAGGGGGGGTGAAATCAAAATCGTCCTGTCGTCATAAATGTGTTTATGTCAGCGTTATTTATATTTCTGTTCAGCACCGAGTCCCCAGAGAGTACCACTCTAGAGAACTGAGAATAAACCTGACCTTTCGGACGGTTTATCCAGACCCTGGAGGCACTGGTGGTGTGAGACCTTGAGAGAGCAGCCGTGCTGACGCCGAGCACACCTTCTGCCATGAAGAAACCTGCAGAGGCTGGTGCAGCTCATCTCGTGGGGTGGCTGTAGGGAAGACGGGGTGGGATTTGCTTCCCAGCTCGGAGTCCTGTTCAGAGACGGCCAGCGGCTCGTGTGCGTGCTCTGTTCACCGCAGGAACGCTGCTCCCCGATCGCATCTTGAAATCACATATTTTCTTTAGGCAAATTAAAAACTGCTGTGGCCGTGCTCACGGGTGATTTTGTCTGTGGACCGTTTCTTCCTGCCCTCCCTGCTTCGTTTGAGGCAATTGAGTGGGCCCTGCCGCCAGGGTAAATGCGCACGTGTCTGCTCCTTGTGATTCCGTGAAGTAGTATATAAACAGGCGTCGGCGACCGCAGCCCTCGGCAGGCAGACTGCTGCCCGGACCCAGAGGAGGCCTCGCCGAGTCTCGTGAAGTCCGCCTCGACGGCCCAGTGTCTTGGCTTGCCGCTTCCGTAATGGAAAGCTGCGTGTTCCGGGAGCACTTCATCTAACCGAGTCTCCCTCCTGGGACACGCTGGGTACAGGCCTCTGAATAAGGAGCAGAGGCTTCGTCCGGTAGCCCAGCCATCTGCAGGCAGCCACCGGGAAACTTGTAACACGAGAGAAGCCTGTCCCCTCGGAGAGAGAAGTAATGGAGTGATGTCATGAGAAATTTAGGCTGAAGAGCAGCAAATGTCCTGCTGGTGACAGCTGTCCTGCACAGATGAGTTTCCCCTGGAGAACGACTTGAGTCACTTAAGCCCAAGCCAGAGAGAAGCAGGAGCAGTCCCCTGGGGACACACTCTGTTACCCAATAGTCATTTTTTCTTTAGGTTCCGGGAGCCCTGTGACGAAAGCTGTCTTCTGACTCTTAGACACAAGTTGTGTCTGCCCTCTTAGACACAAGTTCCCGAGATCCCACAGTTGGTCCGTGATGTCACCGAGGTTCCCAAAACAGAACAGGGTGGCCGCCCTGTGTTGCATCATAAATCAGGTGTCATCTTGACCTCTTGACCTAAGAGCACTGCCCAGGATTGATTCCAAACCAAGATATGGAAAACTCGAGAGAAAGAAAATGGAATTAAAGGGATGAAAACAGGGCAGGAGAGTTAGAGTTTCCCTGGCTGCCTGCTGGGAAAATGTGTAGAGGCTTCTTGCTTGTGATCCTGTTTGTGTTTCGGGCTGTAAGATGCATGGTCTCGGGGATGGTGGGACTTGCCACTGGCTGGAGGCTCTTCCCCGGAGCTCGATGGGACTCTGGGCCAGGCAGGCCCTGCTCTCTGTCGGATTCTAGCTCCCTCCCACCCCCTCCCTTTTCTGGTGATGTTTTGCGTGTGGATAGCTCCTTTCTGTAAAAAATGCTCAGCGCTTTATAAAATCTGAACATCACACCAAGCCTTTCGGGGAGGGAGATACAAATTACCATAAAAATAAAATAAAGCCTCTAATTCCTGGCTGTTTTCCTATTAAACAAAATCTGGCCAGGGTGGTACAGCCAGCTTGGGTTGTGAGTCTGATGCATGACATCGGGAAATTCCTCTTCCGCCCCCGTAGACCACAGAACCCGCAGCTGGTCCCCGGTCCTACGGCGTCCCTCCTAAGGTAGGGTCAGGGCCTCCCCTCATGTCAGCTGCACATTTGATCTCTTCCCTCGTCGCTGCTGGGGCTGCCAGGGAGACAGATGCGTGCTCTGTGCCCGCAGCCGGGCCACCGCCGGGGCATCTTCATCTGAGAGCAGCAACTGCATCTTCTGTTTCTCGGCACCCGGTGGTAGGACTGCCTTTTTTTTTTCTCCTCTAACCACAAGATGATGTCCCTTTTGAAATGACAAGCAGATACTTGCCGTGGAGTTAAAGCACAGGGTTTAGGACTGGACAGGACTTTTCAGAACCTGGCCGAGGACTCTCCGTGACCGCACCAACCTGCCGCTGTGTTTTACTGGCCGTAAATCTTAGCCAGGAATTCGGGGCTGAGCTACTTTGCCGACAGCGCTTGTAAAACGGAGGAAGTAAATATAACAACGTACCGTGAAGAAAAACCCCCTTAGTTGTTTGCTGCCCTTTTTTGATTTTTAGTAACCTGCCAGGCACTGTCCTGGAAACTTTCTATGTCATCCTTCATCCTCCCCACAGCCCTGCAGGAGAGGGATGCTCTTCCCATTGCAGAGACCGGCAGCTGAGTCCCCCAAGCAGGGTAGAGTGAGGTAATAGGCCTTGGAAGTAGCAGAACCAGAATTCAGACCACAGGTGAGCCCTTAAACTGTGTGCTTATTCCTCCGCCATGATGGATGTAGGCCCAATAGTTGCCGGGCATCCCTGAGAACCTGGACCCCTGCGCTCGCTCCTGCAGAGCTGGCCGCCCCGCTCACCCTAAGCCCCTGCTAGAGCTCACCCTAGGCCCTGCTCACCCTAGGCCCCTGCCAGGCCCCCGTGTTTGTCCTCTGCTTTCCCGTATGCGAGGGCAGGCCTCTGCATCTCCTCTCTTCCTAATCATTAGCAGCTCTAACTGGCCCTTTAACTAAGGAAGTTCATTTTGGGGCTCAGAACCCAGTTTCTGGCAAGTTGGATAAATCTCATCCACCCTTCCTGTGACCCAGACCGTGTTTCCTGGTGGTATCCCAGCAAACTCCGGTGGGTGGTGGCCCCTTCCTCTTCATGCTTACCTGTGAGTACATCTGGGGCCCCCGAGGACACCCAAAGTCAGCATCACGCTTCATACTTCACGAGGGTACTGCTGTGGCGAGCAGGTGGCCCAAAGAAACGGGTCGGGTGGTGCACTGGAAGCGCCTCGACGACAGGCAGGCCGCCTCAGAACAGCAGCCAGCATCTGTGTATCCTCCGCCGTGAAACCTGGTCCATTGACTTCGGTGGCATTTGGATCACAGCCCGTAACCCTGACGTTTCCCCTGAGTCCGCGGCCTCCTGGCCCCTGTGGCTGGCCCTGCTCAGTGCGTGGCTCTGTGCCCTGAATCGCCACAGAACAGGGTGCTGTGCTGAGCAGAGGCCCCAGGGGGTCTGTGGAGGAATCCTGCACGTGATGGGTCTCTGCCCCGCTGAGTCTGGCAGCTTTACTTGGCTGCGGAATATCCAAGACCCACATTGCCTTTTCTGGTCATAAACACTTGAGAAGTGTTGAATCTGAAGTCTTGATTGCTTTATTTTTCTGAACAATGGTTTTGAAAAAGCTGAATGTTTCCATAGCGATGCATTTTGTTGGTTTGAATCTTTACTTGACATGAGTCAGCCCCGCGCTGCCCTCGGACGGGCCTGGGCCGTAGCCGTGCCCCTCTCCCCATCTCCTCTTTAGAAAGACCCCTCGCGTGAAGCCCGTCGGTGGCTGCTGGAGCCCAGCCTGGCACGCGGCGCCCTGTGTGAGGTCAGCAGGGAGATGACGCGGGCATTCGTCCCTCAGAGTGGAGCGGGCTCCTCTCCAGCGGGCTTTGGCCCACGCCCCTGTTCGGTGCCCTGCCGGCCTCCTCGTCACTGTTCGGTCGGTGAGGGGCCTGGTGTCCGGGAGCAGTGTGGGGAGCAGGGGCACTTAGATGGGATGCTTGCAGCAGCATTCCTGGAAAGCCGGTTTTCTCGGTGCTGTGCACGGTATGAGTGACCACATCGTCATTACAGAAGCGTCTGTGCCGTCACCCTAGCCCCTGTCACACTCCTGGACGCCTGGTCCCCTTTCTCCTGGGGCCTCCAGAAGCGTGGGTGTGTTCAGGCAGGATCCTGGCCTCTCATCCCACCAGCTGTCCCTCTGGACGCAGATTACAGGTTTCTGAGCAGAAGCAAAGGTGAAAGCCAGAAGGGGCTTCCCCGGCCTGCGTTGGGCCTGGGGGTGCCTGGGGGCTCGGGGGCTCAGGATCTGGCTCGTGCCATAGTCGCACGGGTCATGGGCTGGGTGCTCCGCTCAGAGTCGGCCTCGGTTTCTCCCTCCGCCCCTGCTCCTACTCCTGGGGCTGCAGGGGCTGCTTTCTTGGTCCTCACACCGGAGCAGCAGAGACCCCAAGAGCGGCCTGCGGGGCAGCACACGTGGCCAGGACGCCCCTGTGCAGGCCGGTGGAAGCTGTGCACCCTGGGCAGTGTAGGGCTGGCCACCCCGTCCCGGGCCGTGGCGACCCATCTGTCCCTGTGCTGCCAGCCCCCACCCTGCGCCCGCCTGTGCTTGGAGAATGGCATGGGTGGGGCCCTCCAGGAGGGGAGTGCGCACCCCCCAAGAACACGCCTCCCTGCCAGAGGAACGTGGGAGGGGTGGATAGGGACGCCGCAGGGGGGGGGCTTCCCCCTCTGGCCCCGGGGTTCATGCTGCGGATGCCCAGGCAGGCCCCCGAGAATGCCTTCCCGCGCCCTCGCTCTTGCTGGGGAGAGGAAACTGCAGTGTTTCCTCTGCAATGTTGGGGATTGGCCACCCACTTCCTCCGCACCGTCTCTGGCGGGAGCCTATGGTCCCCACACCTGCAGGAGGCCCGCAGGAGGTGCGGAGGCCCCGGGTCTAGCCGGGGCGGGGAGGGGGGGGCCGGAGCTGGCAGGCTGCTTGCCCCCGCCCTGATCAGGAGGCCAAGGTCCAGGGCTGCTCGGCGCCGGGCACCGGGAACAGTGGGGACACGGCAGCCGAGTGGGGGCAGGGAGCCGGGTGGCTTCAGCTCGTGGCCCGCGCCCCCCCCCCCCCGCCAGGCCTCCTTTGTGGCTGGTCACCCGGGCTGCTGGCCCCAAGTGGGACTCCACACGTGCCCTGGTGACCGCAGCCCGGCCTCCTGCGGGCGAGTTGTGCCTCTGCCGCCCACCGCGGCCCTGTGCCTTGCCTGTGCCCCTGCCTGTGCCCCTGGTGGGCTCCGGGGCCTCACGGCTCTGCGGGCAACAGCGAGGGAGGCCCAGGAGCTTCGGGAGGAGGATGGCCGAAATGAAAATTGTCCACAACTTAAAATTGTCAAGATCCGGCTGCACTTAGGCGTCTCCTGGGATGTTCCGAGGCCACGGGGCCGAGCGCTCCCAGGTGCCAGAGCGGCCTGGCCTCAGGGCCCCGTGCTCCCCGCAGCCCCGCCACATGCTCTAGGCTTGGTCCCCTGCCTAACCCCACTGCCTGTCTCTCCCCGGGCTGCCTTGGAGGGTCCTCAGCCTGGGGGACAGGTCGCCAGCCAGGCTCGGACGCACCCCCACAGTCACTTGGTTTTCTCGTCCTTGCTGGCACCAAGTTCTGTGCAGAACGCCTCGGCCTGGAAGGTTAAACAGTATTGCCAGGCTGG